ACCACAGGTCCAGCTGTTGGTCCCAGCTCTCCCCTCTTTTTCCATATCACCCTCACTTTCATTGGCTGTCCACCCAGACCTGACCCCATCTGCCTTTTCTCATAAGTGACCTTTGAAACTCAGGCTGCACAGATATTTGCTGAATCAGCAGAACCAACTGCTGCTCCTCTTGCTTGGTTTCAGGCCAACAGGAAAATGTTCCAGGATGCTCTCGTGAGGCCCTTATGGCGTTAACTATGTGGGCCTGGGAAGGGCTTGAGAGTAAGGAAGGAGAGAGCGAATGAAGCAAGGCACAGGGAGCTGGTGAGGAGGATGGAGGCCATTGGGTTTTCCCAGAGGCGGGAGTGACTTGTTTCTCTTGAACTATGTTCTTTTTGGGTGAAAGGGAGGAAGGAACAGTGGTCTGGGCTCTTGGACAAGCAGGGAACAGAGGATTTTTGTAAGTGCCCACTTTGTGCCAGCTTCTAGGTGAGCAAAAAGATGCATGCTCCCTCCTCTCAGTGAGCCTTCATTCTGGCCCCATTTTCCAGCTTACCAGGTAGAAGTCCTCTCTAGAGGAAGAAAAGGAGGATAGGCAGTTTGGTGAGCACTGGCCTTCATGTTGTATCCTCAGCAAGCAGGCCTTCCAGCCACAGGCAGACAAGGACCCTGAGTGTCGAGGCTTTTCTTACTCTGTTGATAGAGTTTGGCCTGCTGGGAAGTGATTAGGGTTGGGCGTACTGTACTGTCAGATGTGATGATATGCACATGCAATACAGCTATCTCCATGAATTGAATCTTTGGGGCTCCATCCTCTTTCCAGCTATCCTTGGCTCTTACTGTTCCTGACATAAATCCTTGACTCCAACCAAGAAAACCTTCTCTCTGGACTCTCAATATGCTCCCCCTTTCACCCTGTTCTCTTCTGATAGAGGGTAGCTCTAGGCAGCAGTGATCTGCTTACACTTGTTTAGATGTTTCTAGATATATGCCTCAGGTATGTTGAACAAGGACTGTTTGCTTCTCTCCTGTTTTTCCACTGACTGACAGACCTTCATGCTCTCTTAGTAGCTCTCAGAATGGGCCACACAGGAGCTGCCATCTCCAGGCGGACAACCCTGACTCAGTAGGAACAGAGACACCTGCTCCAATCAGCATTTTAGACAACAGGCTAAAAAGCACATCTGATGATTGTCTAACTATCCTTGAGCCTCCGGTCAGTATGACCCCCTGGAACTCAAAAAATGACCCAAGATTTATTTTATGCTTAAAGGATGGGAGTAGAGAAGAGGAGACTTCCCTGAGCAGCTTAAGTGGAACCAAAGGATAGATAGAAGGAAGAAAATATGGGAGAGAGAAAGAGTTTGAGGAGAGGGAAGAAGAGGGGAAAGAGAAGGAAGGACAAAGAGAAAGGGGAAGGTAGCAAGGAAGAGAAAGTAAAAGAGGAAGACAAGGGACAAAGGAAGAGAGGACAGGACAGGAGCTACTGAGCCATTCAGACTTCATGGCTACTTGGAGGTGGGGGGTATGGGCTAGAAGCTGAATTTGAATTATAATTCAAGAATCATGTCCAGCCTCCAGTAATCCTCTGCCTAGGGGCTGGAGAACATGGACAAGCCCTGGGCTTTGAATGCATGGCTGGCTGGGTGGGCAAACGTGTTCAGATAGAGAAGCTGTGGTCACACTGAAGCTAGTAGCCTCCAGTAGGGTCGTGTGCTTCCATGGCAAGAAGTAGATTTCACCAGATCAGGTTGAGGTTCTGACTCCAGCCAGGAAAGGGATAATCAATTCTGTAGATGCTGTGAGCCTTGATTGAAAAAATAAAGAGGAGGAAGCTAGATGCTGCTTTCATTAAGAGGCAAAAGCAGTGGGGGCTGGAGCTTAGCAAGAGTCAGGAAGCATGCAGAGAAAGAATGTTAACCCCTCCAGCGTCTTTCTTCCATGATACCTCTGCACTCACCCACTCCTTCATCATCAATTCCTTGGCCTGACCTCCAAGGCCACCACCTTCCTATCTCCCTCAGCTGAAGAAGGGAGAGAGGCCAGGCTGCATATTAATGCAGATCTGATGACAATTAAATGATCCATTATTTCCTGGTCCCAGGTTCCCTGGGGCTCTTGCCTCTCCTGGATTTGGGCAGGAAGAGGAGTTATGGGGATAAGAGACAAACTGTGTGGGAAGATAATGCATCTAACACAGTGCCTGGTCCCAGGTAAACCTCACCCAACCCTCAGCAACCACACCAGGGCCACAATTTTACTCTAATGAGGCCAGAGAAGGGCAAGTAAAAAATGAGAAAAGATTTCAGTAACATTATGATCCAAAGACCTCATCTGCCATATCTTCTTCCTACTTCAGCATGCCCAGTAGAGAACTGATTCAGCAGGGAGCTCCCCAGGAGAAACACCAGGGAGAGGGCTGCTGGCTCTGCTCTTCTTCTCCTCACCTCACCCTATCCATAAAGATCTCTGCCTGCTGGCTGCATCTAGCCCTGCACCACTGAGAGGTATAGGCAGAGGAGGATAGCCATACAAAATGGGGGTCATGGGTAGAGAGCAGGGTGGGGCCAAATGTAATCAGCAACAGTGATTCATTACTGAGGTTCTGTGGGGGAAACTTAGGTTGAAGTTCAGCAAAACAGTGGGGAGAAATGGGTGGTACAAAAGGCACAAAAGACATTCAGCCAGCCAGGATGTCCATGATTTCATATCCAAGGGGAGAGAGAGTTGCAGGGAGGAAGTAAGGCGCTCTCTCTGTCTCTTGGTGTCCAGGCTCGGGTAGCAAGGGGAAAAGCTGGAGGATCTGGAGGAAGGAAGGAGCTACTTGGGGTATTAACCTTTTAGTGCCTGGCACAACTTCCTAAGGGAAAGATTTTTAACAACTTCTACTCTCCTCCACCATTCTAATTATTTCTTATTTTTGTTCTGCTCCTATGGGAAGCAAAAGCAGGACAAAGGAGAAGGAAAGATGAAGACGCTATGGTTTGTCTCTGGTTTTGACTCAGGAGGCTGGATAGGAATCCAGGTGATTCCTAAATCCCCGGTTTTCCAGTAGGAGCACTTGGGCAGGAGAGTTTGGGCTCTTTAAGCTACTTTCAGGGCCACAACAAAGTCCTTTTCCAAGAAAAAATGATCTTTCCTCAACCCTTTTTGCTCACAGTTCTCTGAAGAGATGCAAAGAAAGTGGGGAAGAGAAGGGAGATACCAAAGGGCATGAGGAGAGGAATCTGGTGGAGAACCATAATTACCAGAAAGCTGTGGCCGCCCCCTGAAAAACAAATGAAATAGTTCTTTCCCCCCTATTTAGGGAAAAAGCCACATAATACCTTGTAAGAACATTGTCTTTCTGTTGAATCATGGGCACTGAAGGAAAACTGACTTTCTGCTTTTTATGCCAGATAAGGAGGGAAACTATGAAACTGAAGGAAGAGCAAATGGGCCATTGAGGGAGCTGGGGAAGAAAGCTGCATCTTCTTGGGGCTTGAATCAATTGCTATAGGTCTGCCAAGTCAGATCATCCTGGATCTTCACCCCTAAGAGCCCATGATTCCTGTCAAATCTACGCTCTATGAGCTAACATATCCTGACCCGACTTCTCTAACTACATAGATATGAGGAGAAAATGAGTTTTTAAGGAATACATCAAATCTTCACAAGTATCTGCGGACCTGAAACATGCTGAGACTGGATGAGGTGAGATTCTTGGCTCTCCTCCCTCCCACCTCCCCCTCAGCTCCCCCTTTAGCATCACCATTGTCAGGGTCAGGTGCTGATGAGGTACTGATTTCCCCTGAGCTGTTCTTCCATGCAGTTCTCCCATCACCTGTATACTCAGAGGAAGGAAGCTGATATGTCACAGCCTGTCTAATACAGAAGAGAGAATATTCCAGTCCTCTTTTATCTCTTCTTCCCATGTCCCTAGTTCACAGACATTGAAAGTAAAGAAAGAGATTGAGGTCCTAGAGTCCCTCGCTGGGGCTAATGAGTATATTTCTCTCAGGACCCAACATGAGATTCCTAATATCACCAAATAACCAAGTGGAGACAAGATTTGCAGCCATCAGCCATAATAGAGAGAGATTTAAACACCCAAATACCACAACTCCCTTTGCCAACTATCTCTCTTATCATTGTTCCCTTCCCACAATTGCCAACCATCCTGCACAAAAATCCTCCTTGAGTCAGAGGAAAAGAGCTATAGCCAGATTGAGTCCTCACGCTATAACTGAGTCCTCCATTGGCTTGGTGGGTTGTGCCTTTGCACCCCTTTGGTCCTGTGGGGATTCAGAAGAAAGATGCCCACTCAGGTCAGAGCAGAGTAAGCTTCCCCAAAGAGGCACTCCTGGCTTTGATCCCACTGCATCAGTTAAAGAGCCAGACTCATTCCTCTGGGAAATGCTTTTCCCACCCTTTATCTTCCTCTATCCCCAGCACCCCTGCCTTCTCACATCATTCCTGCTTTTCAGCCTTATCCCCTGCCTCCTAAATTTTCTCAGACCCCAGTTCTATTCTTCCTGGACCCTAGCCCTTTTAAAGCTCTTAACATGTGTCTTCGCCAAGCCTCAGTCTTTTTCATATCTCACTCTCCATTCAAATAATTTTACTACCCAAACTCCCTTCCAAATTTTTCCTAACTTAAAAAAAATTCAACTGCTCTTTTTTTCTTCAGTGTAATCTTCACCACAACTTCCTCCCAATTTTGTCTCCTTTAAAATCTGCCAGTTTCTGATATCCCCAATCACTTAAAACCCATTTCTTTCCTCCTTTGCCCCCCGTAAGGGTCTGGATTCTCTCTTTTGCTCCAACATCCCCTAAACCCTCTCAAACACTGATACTAATACCTCTTTTCCCCCAAATCTCCTTGACACACTTCTACCTCCAAGCATCTTCTCATCTCTTCACTTCAGGTTACCCTAGTCCTTCAGACTCTTAGGGGCATCTGATTTCCGCCTTATCTCCTCCTTACACCCATTTGCTTCCCTTTCTGTTACTATAATCCCTCTCCTTTCTTCCCCACTCACTCGGGTCTCCTGCTCAGGACGCCCTTGCCCAGGGCGGCGGGGGATTTGTGCTGAAGGAGGGTTCCAGCGGCAGTGCAACAACCCGAGGGACGCTCCTTCTCCTTGTCTGCGACGGCCCCGGGCGCCACAGGGTGCTGGTGGGGCGACTGGGGTGCGTGAGCCCTGCTGCTGGGGCCCGGCTGGGGTTGCACCAGGAGCTGTCCGTGGTGCTGAAGCGGTGATTGCTCCGGCGCAGGCTGTGGCGCGGCGGGCGAGATCTGTCCGTGGTTCTGGAGTGGTTCCTGGGCCCCGGCGGCGGCGGCGGCCGCGGCAGCGGTGGCCGGGGTGGCAGGCAGCGGGGCTGGCGGCGGAGGGACGAGCCCGGGCGGAGGCTGGGCTTGCAGCAGCTGCTGGTGCTCCCACAGGCTGCGGTTCTCGGCGCTTAGCTCGTCCAACCGCCGCTCCAGCTCGTCGATGCGCTGGCGCTGGGTGTGGATGAGGCTCTGCTGGTTCTGCACGATGGCCGTGAGCTCCTTGAGGTAGAGCACGGCACGCACCGGGTTCTCCAGCAGGCTCTCCATGCCGCCCGCCGCCGCCTGCGCCCTGCCTGCGCCTCGGCGGGCGGCGGGGAGCGCGAGGGCGCGCAGGAGCCGAGCAGCCCCAGCGATCCGCTCGCCTCCCTCTCCAGCGGGCCCAGCCTCCCTCCCCGCCGCCGGCGCCGCGTCACGGCCACACAGGCATTCACACACGCACCGAGGGGCGGGACCGCGGCGCCAGGGCCCACCCTCCCACCCTCCCACCTCCAGGCTTCGTGAGGAGTCTCGGCTTCCTGCAGGGCTGACAGGAGAGAAGGGAGAGGAGCGAGGGAGCCGGTAGGGAGCAGGATAAACGAAGGGGACCAGAGATAGATAAATCTGGAGAGAAAAGGAAAGCGGGTGAGGTGGACTTAGGTGTCCTGGGAGAGTGCGGTGAGATAGGTAGGAGAAAAGAAGCAGATAAGGACAGAGGAAAAGAAGAGGAAGAGGCTGGGAGGAGAGGGAAGGAGATAGAAGGAGAAAGAGACAGAGAGAGAGAGAAGGTGGCAAAGGAGAGAGAAATGTATTTAAAAGGAGGAAGTCATGGGACTCGGAAAGGTCACAAATTCTTTTTCCCACGTCCAGCCATCCCAGAGGTTACGGGTCATCTTAAAGTCCTTCTGAGGAGAGGCACACTTGCCTCTTTTGTACTCAACAATCTGTTCTGCTAGGGAATTCCCTGGGATGCAAGGATCATAGAATTATAAGGGACTCTAGAGAACATCTAGTCATTTATTCAGCCAAGAGGAAACTTAGGGTGGGCAGTCTGTTTATGTTGGGTTTTCTCTGGGAATGAAACCTCAGGACAGTTTTGGCCACTCTAATATGAACATTAACTAAATAAACCAGGTCCTGTGTGTCATGGTTCATGCTTCCAGAAACTTCTGAAGAGATCGTTCTGTTTGAAAAACAGATGTCTATGTCCTAGTCCCCAAAACCTGTGAATTTGTTTCCTTACGTGGCAAAAGCAACTTTAAATATGTGATTAAGTTAAGGATCTTGAAATAGAAAGATTATCCTGGATTACCTGGATGGGTCCAATGTAATCACAAGAGTCTTTGTAATGGGGATGTGAGAGTGTCAGAAAGGAGACGTGACAACAGAAGGAGAGGTCAGAATGAGGCAATTGCTATCTGGGAAGCAAAATTCAGAAAATACAGGTGGCATATAGAAACTTGAAAGGGGGGGAAACAGATTCTCCTCCAGAGCCTCCAGAAGGAATGCAGTCCCACCAATACCTTGATTTTAGCCAGGTGAAATGCATTTTGGCCTTCTGGCTTCTGGAACTGTAAGATAATTGTGCTGCTTTAAGTCACTATGTTTGTTGTAATCTAACAGCAGCAATAGGGAATGAATACAAGTGTCTTTCAAGAATGTATCAATTTCATCTAAGTTGTCAAACTTGTTGGCATGAAGTTGTTTATATGTTCTTATTAGACTTTTAATGCCTGTAGGCTGTGTAGTGATGTCTCCTCTTTCATTCCTGTTATTGGTAATTTGGGTATTTTTAAAGGTCAGTCTGGCTAGATATTTATCCATTTTTATATTTCCATATAACTAGTTTTTGGTGTCATTGATTTTTCTCTATTATTTGTCCATTTGCTATTTCCTTGATTTGCTCTTTTATCTTTCTTTTTTCCTACCTACTTTTGTTTCCATTTGCTTTTTTAAAACTAGCTTGTTAACATAGAAGCTTAGACTATTGACTTTAAATCTTTCTCCTTTTTAAAAAAATTTTTTATTAACATATAATGTATTATTTGTTTCAGGGGTACAGGTCTGTGATTCATCAGTCTTACACAATTCCTTTCTCCTTTTTTAGTATAAATACTTAAAGCTCTGAAGTTCCCACCAAGCACTGTTTTACCTGTATCCTAAATTTTTCATATTTATTCAGTGCAAAATAGTTTTAAATTTCTCTTTGTATCTCCAAATCTTTCTATTATTCATTTCCAATTTAATTTCTTTGTGGTCAGAGAACATATCTATATGAGTTCAATCTTGTAAAATTTATTGAAATTTTGGAACTTTTTTATGATCTAATTTATGGTCTATTTTGATGAATGTTCTATATGTAATTGTCTGATAGTCACTCCAGCTTTCTCATTATTAATGTTTGCTTGTGTGGTAGGCAGAACAATGGCTCCCAAAAATGTCCATATACTGTCCCAGTAAACTGTGATGATATTACCCTACATGGCAAAAAATACTTTGCAGATGCCATTAAAATTAAGGACCCTGAGATTGGGGAGATTGTCCTGGATTTTGTCCTCAGCACACCTGTGCCCAGTCTAACCACATGATTCCTTAAAAGCAGAGAACTATATGTGGTTGTGATCACAGGGAAGTGTGACTACAAAGGAATGGTCAGGGTAAGGTGATGTGAGAAGGACTCTGACCTGCTTTGCTTGCTTTGAAGATGGAGGAAGGGACCATGAGCCAAGGAATATGAGTGGTCTCTGGAAGATGGAAAAAGCAAGGTAACTGATTCCCCGCTAGAGCTTTCAGAAAGGAATACAGCCTTGCTGACACCTTGATTTCAGTCTAGTGAGACCCATGTTAAATTTCTAACTTACAGAACTGTTGACTTTAAGATAATAAATTTGAATGACTTAAGCCATTACATCCGTAATAATCTGATGTGACAGCTACAGAAAACCAATACAGCATGTTACATTTCCCCCCATTCTTTTCCTTTTAATCTATGCATGTCTTTAAATTTAAAGTATTTTTTTTCCCTATAGATAACATTTAGTTGGATCTGACTTCTTAAAAATCTAGCTTGAGGGGCACCTGGGTGGCTCAGTTGGTTAAGTATCCAATTCTTGATTTCGGCTCAGGTCATGATCTCAGGATTGTGAGGGCAGGGAACCTGCTTAAGATTCTCTCTCAACCCCTCCCTCTATCCCTCCCCCACCAAAAAAAAAGAAAAGAAATCCAGCCTGACATTCTTTCTTTTAATTGGAGTGCTTAGATTATTTACATTTAATTTAATTTATTTATCAATATATTTGGAATTAAATCTGCCATCTTGTTATTTTATTATTTGTTTCATTTGTTCTCTGTTCTTTTTCACCTTTTCCTGCCTTTTTTTAGCTTGAATATTTTCTGGTGTTCCATTTCACCTCCACTGGTGGCTTATTGACACCACCTCTTCATTTATTTATTTAGTGATTGTTTTGGGTTTACAATATTTGTTGTTAAATTCTCATTGTCTATGTCCAAATATTGTATTTCACATATAATGTAAAAACATTACAACAGATTATTTCCATTCCTCCCATCCTCTGTGCTATTATTGTCATAGATTTACTTCTGTATTTATTATAAATTTCATAATACATCATTATAATTTTTGCCTTAAAAAGTCAATTATCTTTTTAATTTTTTAAATTTTAATATCTTTTTTATTTACTCATATATATACACATATATGTATATGTATATATATACACATATACCATTTTGGCCACTTGCATTTCTATATAGATCCAGGTTTCCATTTGGTATCATTATCCTTTCACCTGAAGAATTTTCTTTAACATTTCTTATAGTCAGGTCTGTTGGTAACACATTCTGTCAGGTTTTTTCTTTTTGTCTGACAAAGTATTTATGTCTCAATTTTTTTTTAAGATTTTATTTATTTATTCATTTGAGAGAGAGAGAACACAAGAGAGGGAATGGCAGAGGGAGAAGGAAAAGTAGGCTTCCCATTGAGCAGGGAGCCCGATGCAGGGCTTGCTCCCAAGACCCCAGAATCATGACCTGAGCCAAAGGCAGACACTTAACTGACTGAGCCACCCAGGTGCCTCTATATCTCCTCAATTGTTAAAAATTTCTTTTTCATGGATATAGAATTTTTTACTTTGATTTTTTTTCAGCACGTAAAGATATTGTTCCAGTGTCTTCTGGCTTGCATTTTCTGGCAAGAACCCTGTGATCAATCTTATCATTGTTGTAATTCAAAATGTGGAGAAAAATAATCAATGGAAACAAGACGTGAAATGAAAGAGAGGTGAAATTAGCGAAGATTATAAAACAGCTGTCATAAATATGTGTAAGGATTTAAAGAAATACAAGAACACAATGAGGAGAGAAATGGGAAATATAAAAAAACTAAATAGAACTTCTAGAGGTAAAAATATAAATCTGAAATGGAAGTTTTACTGGGTGGGAGTAACAGCATATATACACTGCAGAATTAAAAATCAGTAAACTTAAGCTTTGCGCAGTGGCAGTATCGTAGCCAATGAGGTTTATCCGAGGCGCGATTATTGCTAATTGAAAACTTTTCCTAAAAATCAGTAAACTTAAAGATATAGCAACAGAAATTTTTACCTAACCTGATTAATATTGATCCACAGGTCTCTGAGCTTCAGTTGTTTGTTTTTTTTTTTTTTTTCCCAGTCTTTTTTCTCTGTGTGCTTCAGTTTAGATAGCTTCACTTCTAGAAGTTCCATTTAGCTCCTTTTTATATATTCCATTTCTCACCTCATTATGTTTATGTTTTCTTCTAGTTTGGGGTCTTACTTTCTTGCTTCTTCACATGTCTAGTAATTTTTTCATTCTATGCTAGACAGTTTGAATGTGATTCTGTTGAGTGCTGAATTTTGTTTTCCCTTAAACAGTGTTGGACTGTGTTTTTGCAGGTAGTTAAGTTACTTGTGGATCCACTTGATCCTTTTAAGATTGTTTTAAGCTTTTTATAGGGCAAGTCTAGAGTAATTACTACTCTTGTCTAATTTATCCTGACTACTATGGTGTGATCATTCTGTCATCTGATTGAATGTCATCAAGATCTTTGTAGTCTGACTGGTCAGAACTCTAATTTTTCCAGCCTGTGTGAGCCCTGAACTTATTAAACATCTTAAACCCCCACAGTCATTATTTACTCAGTCATGTAGGATTTCACTCTCTCTATATATGGCTTAGTGTTCAGCCACAGACTCAAGGAGGGCTATCTGCAGATTCCTGGAGCTCTTTCTTTATATAACTCCCTCTTCTCT